ATCTTAACCAATGAATAAAGGTTTCGACATTTCACTTGTATCATTCTCGATTTTTCGTTCACGCATTAGATGATAATTTTTCGCTCACAACCAATGACGCCCACACCAACGCCGACGCCAGAACTTCTGCGAAACGATCTTTTTAACGCTGTTACGTTAATATGTTCTTCTGTATGGCCGTTACTTACGTGGTAATATCGTATAGCGTTGGTGTGATTACGACCTTCCAAAATGTAGGGCACCTTCTGCATATTTTTTTCTTTTTTGCTGAACAATCTTTTTATTTTAAAATGCATTTGAAAGTGGTCATTTGTGGAATCGATTGAATGAACTCTTCTTTGAATATTTATTAAGGCAGAATGATTTCCTTGTTTATTCTCAAAATTAGGTGAGGACCAATTGCTGCCTCTAAGGCAGCCGGCATCTAGATAATTTAGTCTTATTTTATTTTAAAAAAAGGTCCTATACGGTATGTAAACGCTGCACTACGTTTCGATTGAAACGCGGAATTTCTGTCGTGAAGTGCTTTTATGCAAATAGATTTCGAACAAAGTTTTTTAACACGTGCCGAATAACTATATGCAAACAAGAGATACGTTGATGACAACCTTGACTGCCTCTTTAAAAAGGCGGAACTGAAAGAGCGATAAATTAGTCTTGCAGACAGCGTTGTCGCGATAAAAAATGCAGGACTGTGACAAAACTTGTTGGCTAAATTACCCATTATTAGTATTTTTTTTTCTTTTCCAGCGGTGCGCCGTTCTGTATATTTGCTGTGCTTCAACTTTTCGCGAGTCGGCAACGTTCTCGCGCGGGCCGGCCTGCGCGAGCTCTCTTGTTTTCGCGAAATATGTCAACATCGTTAGTGCGTGGCAGCAACAGACCGTCGCGGAGGCACGAAGATTGGGGACGCGAGAGAAGCCGGGCCAAAATTAACGGCAAAAAGGAGCGGCAAACACTCGCGCAATTTGTCGCTCGCGCCTCCACGTGCGCTGCAGTTGTTTTTCCGCGTTCTCTTCTACTTCGACACTGCGCAAACAACGACCACGGACTATGACAAAATGAACTTCACGAATTCATAACACGAAGTTTCTGGTGCGCGTTCTAATCAATGGAGAGCTCCGTATTGATCCATCATTGTCAACGCAGCACTGTGGCGTCGCCCAGCTACGAATTCGTCAGGGGTCATTAGTGGAAGGGCGCCCCGGAGGCAAGCTTATGAGCGAGCGTCGCCACTGCCGACGTCGAGTTGAAGCCCCCAGAGCAGAACAGAAAAGCCCTTTCGGTTGCTGATCTCTGAGCTCGTTTATTTTCGCCGATGGTTTTGCATTCTACCACCATTCTCTGCGTGGCGCTAAAAAAAAAAAAGAGGTATGCTCCGAAATACCGCGCTCTCAGCTCACTCGGAACTTCTCGGAAACGATAAATGAGCTCCAAAGCAGGAACTGGCCTGATGGCCTTTGTCAACTGTGTCGCAGAACACATCCTCCTCCCCTCTCTCCTTCCTGTTTGATCCCGACAGGAAAAAATTTTTGATATCATCTGAGTCAGAAATGAACGAGTTTATTGATGCAAAGGAAGATACACACAGCACATTGTCAAAGCGTGTTCTTTGGGCAGATTAAAGAAGTACATGCTGACGCAAAAATAAGTGCGTAGTTGTGCAATCAGAGACATGCAAGCAACATATTGTCACAGCACGTTTTCGAACATATCCAAAAAACAAGAAAAATCATGCCCACTAAAATTGATTTAGTAATTGTGCGATCAGCCACATGCAAGCAACATAAGGAAATACTAAAAACAAAAACAGTTGCCGAGGACAAGGCTCGGTATGTAGTCTGCAGTACAAAAGACACAGCGCGAAAGAAAACAGGTGCAAAATGGGTTACAACACAGTGGCAGCTTCATGCAAAAAAAAACATAAAATAAGAAACACCCAGCAATAACCAGAACAACGTGAAATAAGAATGCAGCGTTTGGAAAGATGACATTGAACATTCATTGCTAAATTGAATCTGAAACACTGAAAGAACAAGCTTAGCCTGTTGTATAATGACCTACACGTTTAGTACTTTTTGTTCACTTACATTGCTGTGCTTACAAGAATTGGCAATGCATCAGAAAAAAGGTAAAGTGAACGTTCATTCAATTTTTGCCGCACAATAAGGAAAACTATGCTGATGTGTATACCAAAGCACGGCGTGCACAATAGTGCTCACCGGGATGGCATCTACGAGGAGTTGAAGTAGGGCCAACATATAATATAAAGGCATCATGCAGCGCTCAAAAAAAGTTGCCATCACCATATAGAATGCTGAAGTCCATTCTTTAAACAGGCATTGCGGGACGCTTAGCTTGCTTTAATACAAGAAATCCTTTCAGTGGATTCAGTTCCAAAAAGCTAAACACTAGTAAACATACTTGCAAAACTAATCACAAATAAAAAATCTCAATATTGACCCAGATTTGTATGGTAAATGTTAAGTATGCACCAGCCGACAGAAATTCATTATTCAAAGCTTGGATATTTGCTACTGGTTTAGTCCTGCAAAAAAAAAAAAAACGTAGAATCAAAACAAGGAAACACGTGCAAAGGTCAGATTAACATGCGCGCCATTTTATGGTATCAAGCTTGTCTGCGCAAATAGAAGTGAAACTGTGGAGGAAATAAACACTCCTCTACAAAGAAGCTGTTAACGTAATATACGATGCTGATGAAAGCAACACCGTTGAATAAGTAATTAGGTCTTGATGCAGAGAGTTGAAGGTCTCAATTACATATTGTCGAATTCTTTGTTCATGCTTCCTTTTTTCTTTTCGTGCTGTCGTCATTTCTATAAGCTTAGACATTTCGCGCCACGTTCGTGAGTTCGCACCTTTCTCGTTTATTGAAAGTTGTCCTGCACCGAGCGGCAAGCTTCAACAAAACTCCGTCCAATCATTGTATAGACCAGAACTCAGTGATGCAAGGTAACTTCCGTTATCTCGAATAACAAAAATGACATTTTAATAAAGTTCAATGAAAGTGGTTGTAATGCATCCTATTCTCTCGATTATCATTGGTGTGAACCTGCTGTACACTCATTTGAGAGTGTCAAGATCGTGATTGTTTAATCTCGGTAACTATGCTATCAGAGCCTCTGATGTATAAAGCGTATCGAGAACAACTATTGGCCGAGAACCTAAGTAGTTCATCATCCACTTCTTACCTCTACTGCACTATATATCACGAGCGCCACACAGTGTAGTTAGGCGCCTTATCTCAGCTGTTCGCAGACTATAAGCGCTCAACTGGCCCATATTGACAGGCTTCTCGTGAACATACAAGATTCGTCCTCGTCAAACCGAGAGAATGTCGTAAATTTCTGGTTTGAGTTACCAGTTTCAGCAAATGTCAACCGCCATATGACGACAAATCGAGGCCCTGTGTGAGGCGATTTCGTTTGAGGAACTCTTCGCTGCGTTCTCTTACCTGCTGATTCCAAATCAGAAGTTACAGAAAAGACCATGGTGGTATGTTTGTGAATTTTTATGTATTCTAAACATGCATTCCAAAAGCTCTTCATGCGTGCTTGACAGAAGCAGTCATTCTTGTGTGGTTTTAGACATTTGTAGAAAACAAAATGTGTGACCATACTGCTCTGAGCACAGCCTTTTTACATAGGCTGTATTAAATGCTTAATTAAAGACTGTATGTTTTATATATACAATTTTTTATTTTACAGTATCTTTAATGACCGTTTGGCTGTGAGTGCATATTACAAACAGAGGCGATAGTTGAGTATCATTCTATTTTTGCGTCTTAGCCAAGTAGCCTTGAACTCGGTTAAGCCTGGTAAAATTTCCCTACATTCTTTCTTGCTGTATTTCTCTTCTCTATATACGCAGCAGCTCCAACTACAACAATAATAAAAAAATTAACAAATAACTCAAGTGTGATATTCTAATTATATATTTTCAAAAAAACTGCTACTCTGCGTAATGTTGCATATGGCTGACATCCATATGTAATGTGTTTGTTTAACGTGCATTTCCTAAAAGAATGAATCTATCACTATCACTGCTGAAGTACGTTTGCCGTAAGTACAAGGCGCGTTTTGCTATAATATCAGATTCGCTTACACAAAGCAATGCTAATTTCTCTCCCTTTTGTGGCTTCTCAGTATTTCGAGCCGAACACCGTTTTGTTATCTGTTTTTTATTGATTTTCATTGTTTTAAAGCTTGGAAGAATAATGCAGTTGATACACACAACATGAACAGACTCTCTTAAGCAGAACATTGAGCAATGATTCAGCAGTAAACAAACTCTGCTGGTCCCAGCTGTCTTCATAATAAGCATGTATGGGACCATGTGAACACTTCATGAAATTCAAGGGACGTGGACAGATTTGAAGATTTAGAAAAACACACACAAAATACCCTAATATTGCAAGTTCTAGACATGGTATTCATCGCACGCTAAGAAAAAAAAATTCCTTGAATATTCCTAATGCTTGAATGCTTCCGTATAGCTAAAGAACATGCTCAAGTACACCAGAACAAAAAAAAAACGACACTAGGTCTCCACTAATTTTGTCGACATGAAGAGCAGAATGTGCAGAATTCGACTGCGGGTATGCAAGTTTCATGTAACCAACTAAGTTCTTTTCAAAAGGACATTTCAAAAGCAAGTTGACGTCTACGGTTGTCCTGTCTCTATCTCTGGTGTCCTTGGTCACGTTCATTAGTAATGCGGAGGCCTTCAGTCTATCCAAATCGGTCCAGATAAATGAATTCATAATAGCGTTTGACTGACGCTATGTGAGATAACCACCGAAAGATATTAGAAACCATCCCACTTTTTTGGAGAAGTCGCATAGATCCCATCGGGGTTCGGGAGATGTTTCATTAGGCTTTGCATGCGCCCCGAGGGACAGAAGTGACTGTGGAGGTTTCACTCTCTCGGCCGATCTCAGTTCGAGCCGAGTCCGACGGCCACCGACGTTGGCAGCTCACCGTTCAACACGTGGACGACGATGCTGGCGGGCTCGGCATTCGACGGCACGCACGAGTAGTTTCCGGAGTCGTGTGGCTGCGCGTTGGCGATCAGGAGGCGGCTTTGCGTTCGCGGCGACTTCTCCGTCTGCACCGAGACCCCGTGCTGGATGTCGTAGTTGATGACGCGCGCGTCGTGGTACCAGAACACGTAGTCGGGAGGCACGGGGCTCTCCATCACCTCGCAGGTCAGGTTCAGGGTGCTGCCGCTGTTCAGGTAGAGCGTCGGGCCTCCGGCGATGCTCGCCTTGCTCACTGCACAGACGTCGCAGAACACAGAGAATACTCAAAAAAAAAAAAAACAACGCAACGGTACATGCGAAGAGAAATGTCGTAGCATTATGGAGTGAAATGTGAGCTAACGTCGTCATTTTAAAAAGGCTTCTCTCAAACCTTTTAGAAGTGATTTCTCAAGAGGCCTTGAGGTAAGAATTATAAAAAGGTGTTGATTGATTTGTGGGGTTTAACGTCCCAAAACCACCATATGATTATGAGAGACGCCGTAGTGGAGGACTCCGGAAATTTTGACCACCTGGGGTTCTTTAACGTGCACCCAAATCCGAGCACACGGGCCTACGACATTTCCGCGTCCATCGGAAATGCAGTATAAAAAAAAAGTGTTAATCATTATATAGTTTTATCATTTAATTGAATGCAATGCTTCATCATGGAGCGTTTACCTTACAATTATGCTTCAACATATCGTGACCACATCTGTGCTTCATGAAAGAAAAATGCTCTAAACCTGTCATACCTGAGTATCCCATCGGAACAAATAATAATAATAATAATAATAATAATAATAATAATATAATAATAATAATAATAATAATATTATAATAATGTCCAGGGATTGACATGCTAAAACCACGGTATGATTACGAAAGACGCCGTAGTAGAGGGTGCCGTAAATTTCGACCATGTAGTCGAAATTCATGGGTCTCTACCATTTCGTCTTCACCAAAATCCGAAACCACGGCCTGGATTTTGCTTGCGACTATTGGATGAGCAGCCGAGCACCTTACATACTAATCCATAGTGACGAATTACCTGGAGAAACGCCATCAATTGCCACAAGACAGAAAATGTTACGAATATCAGTTAGCTACATATCTTTATCATCCTTGAGCCTAAAATTATGAACCCAAAATTAGCTCAAAGCATAACATGCTGGCCTCATGTCAGGCAATGATTAGCTGCGACCAGTGGAGAAACCCCGCATTGACTCGTGCGGAATACACCTTCATGATCAATCGCAGGTGTTACATCTCTCATACTCGACCAGAGAGCTCATTTATTATTTAAAGAAATGGAGGAGGAAACAAAGACAGTCGGGCACGAGGTGGCCCTATATGGCGAAAGGTGGTGAGCTACCCGCTTGGGAATCTTGATTTACGCGGTTTCAAAAGCGATTGCTTTTTGGCTCTCTGAAAATGGAGCAGTGCATGGCGCTGAAATAAAAAAAAATCGAACTGCGACAGCGTCCACGAGGTCTGTTATCGTAACACACCGATAAGAATGAATTTCTTGGACAATAGAATACTTGCACCTATAGTTTGTCGAGCTGTATGTACCCTTACCAAATAAGTATATTTGTTGCTGTAGTTCATATACAATCCAACAACTCTGAAATTCGAAAGTTTATGCGTTAAGATTTAGATCCAATTTTCGTGAATAATTATTTGTTCAAGTTTTTATTCAAGATTTACAAGCGCATATACATTAACCGAAGAAGATGACTTTCTGCACACAACATAAGCCCGCGCTTCTTACATTTGGGAACAATACCTTGTTGAACGTCACGAAATGCGAATCGCATTGTGGGCAGTGAAACTGACGAGACCAATAGAAATTCGATGCGGACGACATGTTGGGTTTACCGTCGTATGATTTCGAGAGACGCCGTAGTGGAGGGCTCCGGAAGTTTCGACCAACTGGGGTTCTTCAACGTGCATCCAAATCTAGGCACACAAGCCTACAGCATTATCACCTCCACCGAAAATGCAGCTGCTGCAGCCACGATTCGATATCGTGACCTGCGGGTCAGCAGCTGAGTACCTTAGACTAGGCCCCCGAGGCGGGCTTGAATGAAAATTTGTGTCGTGTTCATCATAAACACGTAGTAGGCTGAATATTATTATTCTTGGCAGATGAAACGTAGGAAACTTATCGATGTACGTTAGAGTATACAAAACAGCACTTATTGTGTGTATGTCTCCACGAATGTCCTAATACTAAAGTGCACTCCTAAGAAAGCTTAGCTTGCGCTGCTAACACTGTCTTTTATTGCTTTTTTTTTGCGAGGCTGCAGGCTTGTTTGTTTGTACAATCGAGCGGTTGCCGCTGAATATGATAAAATAAGCCATGACCCAATTCGCAAAGGATTTTTTTCATAACATTTGTTTTCTATGGGCCGACTGCTTTCGTTCATAAACAATACGGCATCACAATTGGCTGGCGCTTACTCTTACGCAAATAGCTTGGGCGTAGCAATGCTTGTAAAAACGAAATTGTCGGAGGGATATTTATGGTGGTTATATAGTCGGCTTTGTGAGTAGACATGAAAATGCTTACTCGTGTACGCTAAAAATCGAGACAGCATGGATGAGACATATCAAACACAATTCCTACGAGGCTTCACGAAAGTCATGTTAGGCATATGACCATATAAACTGAGAGAGATGCATACTAACTCCCGTGTACAATAATGCAAAACAAGTTATCGCATGAATAGGACGCCAAGTAAGCACTTGGGTAAAATATAGCGCAACTCATGAAGCATACGCAGCCAATGTATGCATAAACAGCCGAGTATGACAGGCCAGTAGACCACAGTATAATGCACTACCGAATATGCGTGTGAACAGCTGATTGTGCTTGTATACGTTGCCATGCGAGGAAGCATGCCCATTGCTCCTGCTTACATATTCCGCATGCGTGCTGTTGTATTAAATGGATGTTTTGCATTCTATGATCCGCGTGCTATAGAGCATGCGCATTCGTATATTCATATCCTAGGTATGTAAAGCGTGAATAAAAAGATAACAGAACAAAGGAACTTCAGGGAATCGATTCAGATTGACCAACTTACATACGCTCACTTGCAGTATACCCAGCTAAGACTAAGCATGCATTTCACTGAAAGCGGGCAGTGGACAAGGGGGATCTGTTCATGCGTCGGATACAACAAGTTGTCGAGCCTAGAGAGAGAAAAAAAAAGAAGGGAGTGATCGAACAAAGGAAAGAATTGCTTGCGGAACCGTGATGTAGACCCGAAGAAAGTGCCAGCGAACTGGAGGGCACTGCCGAAGCCCCGGGACTCGGCCAATTCTATTCCGTCGGGCGCCGCATCGAAATACGTCACGATCAGCGCACACGGCTGTTCGCTGCAAACAGTGTGACGACCGCGCACCTATAGCTCGCACGTTCGGCGGTGCGTCCTCGCCGCCGTCACCGCTGGTAGCTTTTCTCTTCTCGACCGAGCCAGTGTCGCGAATTTCCAATTCTATCAGGCACCGCACGGCAGAGGACTCAGCGATGCCTAGAGCCGCGGGGAGGGCCGCAGAGAAAGAGGGGCGCGATGAACGTGCTCCTCCGTCGTTTCGGTAATGACATTCAGCGAAGAACACAATCAAATCTACTTTCCATATCTTCTCGTCTCTCTCCTTTTCTTTTGTGTACCCGTCAAGCAGTGACCTGCTGCAGCTCGAATCAAAAGAGGATAGCTTGGAACAAAAGAGTCGGCTCCATACAAATGAATTCGCGAGCTCCGCTGTTTGCTCCGACTGAGAGCTCATCTACTTCAGCGAGATACTTCGTTCCTGTGTGGAGTTTTGTTATAGCTTCGGTGCTTTCTCGCATCTTGTTGTAATCTCGATGTCCGCTCTTTGTACATTTGCACTCGTTTCTTCTGTTTCAATGCGCTTACCCCTCTGAAGAAGAGAATGTGCTTAACAGCGAGATTAAAGCGAGAACACCGTTGTCTGTTTGAAAGGTGATGCAGCCCCCTCACATGGTGGCGGGAAGCTCGAATGTGTGATGTTTTACGCAGGTGCCATGGACTAACGCAGCACGCTAAGTCGATAACCTTAAGCGGACACGTGCTTCTTTAGAAATGGTAGCATAGAAAGAACAGAACTTCACAAAAATATACTCATCATCTCATCATCCTAGATCACAGGTTGTATACGTTGTGCCTAGTGGTAGTAAAAAAAAGGTAACCTAACTACCGTGCAGTAGTTCGGTTATCAGAGCCTGTATAAAGGCAGATTTGGCAGTGTTATGCATTTTTATTATGCATTTTATTATGCATTTTTACATCGTTCTGCTTGCAGCCTGGCGCTATTTGACAGTGCATAATTATTGCAGGAAACATGAGACGAATTATCGAAAATGAGATAATCAACTTCCATACGATATAATTCAATCAATAAAAGCTAGGAGTGCTAAAACGTTTACACGGATATTTATTTATTTACTTATCTGATTATTTGATATATAACATGTTTAATTGCATGTTCAGAATAATGAAAGGCAGGGATGCTCACTAGTGTAAGCAGCCGCTTGCTACCAGACACACGCTAAGAATATAGATGAAGAAGAATAAAAGGTGTGACCTGCGAAACAAAAATTGCAGTTTCACTGCACGGTGCGGCTAATAATGCGGTAGCGACGAATTGGAATGTTATACGAATGTTATACGACATAAAGCTATAGCAGCTACGTTTAATTCCATCCAGCGTAGCTCTGGAAAACGCCGGCTAATACAGTCGCTTCAGGGTGAAGCGGTGTTCGAGCTCTCTGTCGTTTAACGTGATGTGAGTGGTAAGACAGCGCGCACGCCTGCTCTGGCTAACGCGCCATTACGGTAAAGGTTCGCAGCTTACTGCTCAAACGATTCATAGGTCCTCCTCTCTACGGAGTCCCTGCATGCTCCGTCACCCGAAAGGACCAGAGGGAGGGGGGTGGGTGTGTTTTTTTCTTTACTTGAAGAGCCATCAATGGGAGACCTCTCACATGGCGTCATGTTATCGCATGCACTCGTCGTGCGACAGAGATGGCTGGTTCGTTTCGACTGAGCTTCATCTCAAGCACTTGCGTGGTTTTACTGAAGCGTAGAACACAGATTGTGCGGCCATGTTATCGAATTCAACTTCATACCGACCATCATGATGACTGTAAACCTTTAGAAATTGTCAAGGTAGCTGATATTGCAGTATAAGACCACACAAATTACAATACTACTTCCAGAGATGGTCGCGCAACCCACCAGACATACTGTCTTCATCACCATTTTTTTTTCCAAAAACAGAAACAATCCCGACGTTGCTTGACAAACTGAATGATCACCCCTTCACATAGGAAGCTCCAGTGAGATGAGTTTAAATGAAGTTACGCACCCAAGACTATAAATGCATTGCTGCAAAATATATATGCATCTGTTCAAGGGTTAGCTTACTGAACCTAAGAAATGACATTCGCATACGAAGAGTGCCATAGAAGAACATTCGACTACGCAGATAAGTATGTTGGTATGCATTTCCATAAAAAAGACTATCATTTGGCATCAGCCTAGTGAGTTAAGGTGACTACCCTATTTGCCTTCAAGTCGCATGAATGTTTTCACAAACAAGGATATTGAAAGAGAAATGGAAAGGAAAGCAATAAGGATACATGAGAACAGACAGCGATGTTAACCAGACACATGCCCAGTTGGCTACCTTGTGCGGAAGGAATGACAAAAGGGAGTTAAAGTTGAGAGACGGGGAGAAAGAGAGAGATGAGGATAAAAGAAAGGCAAGAAGAAAAAAGGCATGTTTATGACAGTTATTGCCTCTGGAACCTCGTAAATAGATGCTCTGGTCGATTGTGATAGTAAATGAACGTTGATGATTATACCGATGCTAGAAACATTAATGACAAGCAGCTCTGAAAAATTTTAATCGGCCAGTTATCAATTTCGCCGTTTTATATTTTGCTAAATGAAGGTTACGAAAATCAGTTGACTAACTTACCCATGCATGTACCGGTCAAAATATGAAGCTACAGGCCGCTGATTGTGAGCTATGATATCCGCACTTCATTTACGCTCATAAATACCTTGACTAAAGTTTTCCTGACTGCTTTTTGTATTTTATTTCTTATGCTCAATATCCAATCAAAGGCTGATTGATTGATATGTGGGGTTTAACGTCCCAAAACCACTATATGATTATGAGAGACGCCGTAGTGGAGGGCTCCGGAAATTTAGACCACCTGGGGTTCTTTAACGTGCACCCAAATCTGAGCACACGGGCCTACAACATTTCCCAATCAAAGGCTAAGGAGTAGCCGGTGCCCTAGTTATGCGCTACCATCTTCTTATATATCATATACGTAAAAACAATGTCTTCTAATGCCCCTGTGCAGGGATGCCCACCACAAATGATTGTGAATGGTTAGAAGAGGCAATGGACACTGCTAACTCAAGTAGTGGAAGCAACCTACGTAAGCGAAATTATGTGTCTGCACCCCGTAGTTCGGCCGATTCAGTCATCCGTGCACGGGTGAGTGCACTGCGTACTCACCGATCACGTTGAGCGCGATGAAACGTGATATCTTGGGAAGAGTGCTGACTTGGCACTCGTACATTCCGGCGTCCCTTTTCTGCGGATACTGGATCTGGAGCATCCACAGGTCCGAGTTGTCCATGTGTATCGCCTGAAACCGCTGGTCCGAGGTGTACGTGAAGCGACCCACCGTCAGAACGTGCAGGTCCCGCCTCCGGATCCACGACACCTGCAAACAAGCGCAGACGGAGAATTATCCGATTTGAATTGCATACACAAAAACACAAGGAATAAGCGAAGACAGGGAGAGAGTAGGATAGTGAATTTCAGCGAGCAGGAGGGGCACAACACTTGCCTGCTCGTTCGGGAAATGGGATAATGAAAGACAAGCACACAAGACAGGTAATCTGGTGGTGACGCGCCGTCGTGACTAAGATATTTCGGTAAGTCGCTGCATTGGTACAGTGGCTATAAGTTACTTCTTGAGTGCTCACCACAAAGCCATGGGATAGGTTACGGCCGACGTTTCACTGCACAGCATTAGCAGACCTAAATGTGGGCGGGTCTGTTTCGCTTTCTGAAGCACTCACCACATGTATATCACCACACACGATCGCAATAGTGGGATAAAAGAATGACGTCACATTGAGCGTGGCGTGAATGATGATCACTTGCATTCGCTGACCAAGTACGAAGCAATTGCTGATAATCTAAACCTTTTTTTTACGATAACAGAGCATACTACAACTTACCAAAATACAGTGCCTTTATCACAACACCATGAAAAAAGTGCTTCATTGTACTTCACCCAACTATTTAATCCAGTGAGGGAAGTAAGGTGTGATGCATCGTGATGATACCATAAGAGTAATGTGACTAAAAGCATAAGGTCACTAATTACAGACACGACTTGAATAACAATCTTGCACTATTTTCAACTTCTGTGTGTTGAGAAATACTGCCAGCAATTGCAAAATACAGAAGGTAACAAAATCTACTCCTCTCCTTCATATGACCTACACGTAGGAGTAGTTCGGCGTTTCGCTGTGAAGGAAAATTGCGCTTTCGTGTCAAGGTCTTCATTTTCCAATTCGGTTCTTCCCAGCATTTGTAGTGTCGCAACTATACAGTAACGCACTCTTGTTTTTTTTTTATTCACTCCACCAACGCCACTGCATACAGTCTCAAAGCGCACGCAAACTGTAGCACTGCACGCATTCATGAGGCCGGTTCGCGCAGCGGCAGGCATTTGCGAAGTAAGCCGCAAAATCAACACGCATCTTACTCTCTTCTTCACTTTCATCTTTCTTCTACATACCGATGGCTCGAAGGCTTCGACATGAAATGGGAAAAGAAATTCGCTGGAATAGAAAAACCTGGGGGGGGGGGGGGGGGGGTATGGGTACGGCATGAAAATGCGACGAACCATTCAAAGCACGCGCGGGGACACGCCAAATTGCTTCGTGTCTTGGCTTCCAATGCGCGCCACCGCCGCAGTGGTAGAGCGCCCGGTTTAGTCGGCGCACGCACGCCATGAATCCTGATAGGCAAATTGTCGCGCGCGTTTAGGCGGCTCGCGCGCGCTCTTCGGCCGGCCGTCGCTTTCTAGACGCGGCGGCGGACTTAATGGAAGCTTCCCGTCGATGGGAGCGAAAAAAAAGCAACATTTTCGCGCCTTTTCGACAGCGCTGTGTCTCTTCGAAGTCCATAGAAAACTTTTTTTTGTATACTATTCGCGTTCATGGAGTGCACGTGACGAACCTGATAAAGAGTGATGAAAGTCTGCAATAATAAAAATCGGTGGTCTGTGCGAATGACTGACGCGCTAATGGCATCGAGAGGAACACGTTCTGCGGCAGCTACAGGCAATTGAGCAGCGTAATAACGACAAATTGATGACAACTGGAACGACCTATCAACTTATCGTGGCAACGCATTTGTATACACAAAGGTAAATTCGCAAAGGCGTAATGTATTGCCTCATGGGCGTGCACCACGGTGGCGCAAGAATTGTGTCTTCTCGTGAAAACTAACGCGCCTTTCGGAAGTTTCTCGAAGCATAATCATTTGCGGGAGGCCTCGACAGGAGGTTTAGTATGCGACTGCTTACGCTCAATAGTCAAATGCCCTTGGAGGAATAGGAATACCTTCTTGGTCACTCTCTGACACGTAGGCCTATGAATTATTGCATCACGAAAGAAAGAATTGGGTAAAGCAAAGACAGGGCAAGCGCTGAACTTCAAGTCTTCTTTATTGTGACACGCATCGTAGGCTGGGCATAGTCACGAGGCACAAGAAAAAAATATTGGATGAAGATTCTCTTCCTATCTCATGCGAAAGCTTGGCTGAAACATACCCGTTCCATCTTTGAATGAACAGTGATACTTTAGGGTGCACTTACGCAAATACTTCTTCAATGCTCATCGGGAAGGCCTCGAAAATGTGCTCTTGTGTTACTGTAAGCCCGCTCAACTCTAAAAGCGTGCTGAACATGTGTTTCCATGAATGCTTGAGTGCGAGGACACAGGGAAACACCACAGCATTATCAGACTCCAATCAATACCTGGAGGTTGCCTTCCACTAGCCAGCTGTTCCTGCGATTACGCCATGTATGCACATGAAGTGAGATCAGACGTTTAGACATCCACGCGGGCTTCTGCTTCCTGGGCAGCGGCTGCGCTAGCAGAGCTTTCTAACGCATCGTGCAAATATGAGTGTGTTGTGGCATTCGGCCTCGACTATTAGCCTTCGCGGATATTGGGTTGTGGGCCAATACTTACGCGTCAGTGACCTCTCGCTGTTGCGCCGTCTTGTCAGAATGCTATTCTTCAGCACCATATAACGGTGCGCATAAGCTTCCTCTCCCGCTCAATGCAAGTAGTCTTGATAATATTACCTGAAAATTTTTTTACTGAAAGTTTAAGTACTGCTCCCTGTGATGTTTCCTCTCAAGTGTCAAAATACTGTGCTTATTTTTTCTTGGATCACACACAGCAGGCTCCTTCTATTACACTTTTACGTTACAGTGTCTGTAACTGCTGGTAACTAAAACAACATGTGCCCACGTGTTCATGCTTTGAAGATATGCGCGGACTCCTCATCATGTGATAAAGGTGATATAAGTGACAAACAATCAAATTGACCATTTTTTAGTCACAAAAATGTACAATGGCTAGATAACGAAGTCAGTTTAATTTACAAGATCACAATTAATTCACTACACTTAGCAAACAGCCAGTTTACTCCCGTTATTATTGGTTTTATGTAAACATAAAAACAGTAAGGTTAGAAAAAATGACAGGTCACTGACGACAAATGTAATAGCCGATAACCACGCATGCTTTGCAGACACCTGGAAATATGTTCACCAGCCGCATGTCTGTAGACAAGATTTTACAGTTATTCCGTTTAACAATTTAGGATTGGCGATAACGTGCTTCAGACTTGTCTATGTGTGCACTAAAATGTTTTTTCTGGCATCTCTTATTTTTTGTTTATTTCTAAGTTTTTGAATAATCATATGTCAAATGGTGCAATGCCACAAAACAACCTCGTCTGAATTCTCCGGTGGCTGTGAGTAAAAAAAAAATGGCCATATATCTACATGTTTGCCTGCAAATGTCGTCGAAAGACGATATTCTTGCGTCTGGAGAGAGTGAACAAAACGTTTATTTGATGTTCTGCGTGACCTGCCGCGGTGGTCTCGTGGATAAGGCACTCGGCTGCTGACCCGCAGGTCGTGGGATCGAATCCTGGCTGCGGCGGCTGCATTTTCGATGGAAGCGGAAATGTTGTAGACCCCTGTGCTCAGATTTGTGTGCCCGTTAAAGAACCCCAGGTGGTCGAAATTTCTGGAGCCCTCCGCTACGGCGTCTCTCATAATCATATGGTGGTATTGGGACGTTAAACCCCACATATCAATCATGTTCTGCGTGACAAAATCTGTGGATTGTATTATGGACGCGCTGCGTTAGAGAGCCTCGATCCGTGCAGCCAAGGCGAACGAGCGCATCGACGCACGTTAGACACGAGCGCTATCTCGCAGTTATCTTCGAAAACGAAAGAAGGCATGCGCACCTGTCTCAGTGACGATAAGGTGTAGAACGCTAAGCGACGGGCAGGTGCCACCACCGTGTCGTCTTAGCAAAGCTTATAAACACTTGCCTTTTTGAGCATCGCATCGGTTTGTCAGCGCAGCTTGATAAACGCTACGGTCCCTAGAATTACTTATGTATGCCTCCTATAAAGACACACATACAACATATTGACGAGTTGTTATGGGGCCTCAGATATGCACAATAATTGCTTTTTATTTGACAATTGCACGAGTGTGAATGCTGAAACTTGAGCAGCATTGGTGGGCGCTGCGGATGTGGTTGGCCGTTTGGGGTACCGTTACGGTGGACAAACAGACAAACGTACAGAAAATGAACAGACAGACAAACCAAACTCAAAGCACCCCAAGAAAGACTATCGTCTTTAAAAAAAAATTACACCATCCCTCCATAAAGGGAACCATGAAGGGATGGGATAAAGGGTGCAAACCAATATTCGTTGACGTTCATTTGGCGTTTCTGTTAGTGTGTGCGGTTTGTATTTAGTGTTTGTGTTGCGCTGTCGTTTGTGCTTGTGCGTTGTCGAGGAAGTCTCTATTGAATGGTGCGGTCGCTCCGGGAGGTCACTGCAGTAGTCTAGAAAGCCTCGCTGCCCTCGCCGTAGACTCGCGTTGTCTCTCTGTAGTAGAAGCGGTAGCTCAACGCCGACGCTTGGCTTCGACGTCGGCGTTCCGGACCTCAGGGTTTGCAGCTCGAAACCGAGACTTGGCTTGCGCTTCCCTGTCTAGGAGTTCAGAATAACCGTGCCTGCGTGGGCGTTCGCGTTCGGCATCGTGACCCCAGCGCTGTTGCTGCTTTGCGACGACCTCGATCTCGGTAAATGTTGAAGAGTGGTTGCAACTGACACAGACGTTGACGTTACAACTTGTCTGAACGGGAGTGAAGCGAGAATGATGGAAGCCGACTGAGCGCACGCGATTAATTAAATGGGGGAAGGAAAATAGGGAGGGGGTCGGCAGGATCCAGCGTGGGTTCCGGAGGAGAGAAGGTGATCGTACCCCTGCGTAAAGGAGCAGAGTGGGGGAGAGAGTATACGAATGCACACTGGAGCGAGGACGCCACCGGATCAAGCTCGATTATAAGATTCTACGCACCTAAAAAAAAGAGTTTTTAG